AAGGAAAGCAAGCAAAGTCCAAGAAAATTGAAGAGGCTGCAGCCCGAGCGGGCGGCGGGGCTGGGTGGTGGGGCCGGCCTGCCCGGCTCTGCCGCGACTCCCGCTACGGAGCCCGTGCCGGGTCCCCGGTGCTCTGAGCTCTCAGGGCTTCACCAGCAACTCAGAAAAAAGGCACCAGAGCAAAAGCAACCAAAGGCGCTGCTATTGATGGCGAGGCCAACGGGAGAGGCAACGTAGCAGCAAAGCGGAGGGGATGGCAGCTCCAAAAGCCCTTTGGGGTTTGCTGCGCCTATGTTTCCCCACCTGGCGCACGATGAAAGTTTTGCCAATGCTCCCGCATCCCCCCGCTGCCCCGTGCGCTGTGGGCGCATGAGAAATAACCCCTAGAGAAGGGGCCTGGGTGCCCCAAATCCCTGTGCGTGCCCCAAATCCCCGTACGTGCCCCAACCGTGCTCCCCAGCATCACCCCAGTCTCAGCACCCACGCGATGCCAGGCTGCAGATGTCTGTCCATGGAAGGACAGACGGATGACGACTCCCTGGGGCTACTGAGAGGCCCCGGGAGATGGAGCGGCACAAGCAGAGACCCCCATGGCACCTACCTGCAGACGTTCCTGCCGCCAGGGTCGAGCTCCTGGGCAGAGGTCTGCACCCATAGCCACAGCTGGAGGCAGAGGATGGGCCGGGCGCTCCCCATCCCGGCGGGGCACGAGGGCCCGAGTCCCGGTGGCTCCCCAGTCCCACGCCAGCGTCCGTCTGTCCCGTCCGTCCGTCCCTCCCGTGGTGCGGCCTCTTCCTCCCACCAGCCTTGGGTTTCTTCCTGAGGAAACGCGGGAGGAGGCGCCCCGATCCAGACGTCAGGGGTGCGGCGGGGAGGGGGAGGCAGGGAATGCTGCTGCACGGGCTATTTTTGGCCCTTGCTGCCACTTTGGTAGCAGAAACGGGTGGTCAGAGGCTCCGCCCCGGCACGCGCGGGTCGCGCACCACCCCGACCACTTTGACCAG